GTTTTCTTTTTTCAAGCTTCCTTGCCTCTATTTTCACCTGGTGACTATGCCAGTAACTCACCTACAGTCCTTGGATGACAATACCTGCTCACCCTTTTGTATTAGGACCACAGAAATAAGATAGGATTATGGAATGCCAGCCACCTTCTACTCTCCATAATATAGAGGGGCATGGTTCTGTAGTCCCCAGAAGTAGTTGAGGAAAATGTAATTGATAAGAGTTAGAACATGCCGAGAGCACAGGAAGTTAAAAGCTCAAAAGATATCTGGCACCACTGCGATGACACCATCCAAAATGTAAAAAAAAAGAGTCTTGCCTAGAGATACATTTTACCAGACCACAAAAGCAAAATAAGAGAACTTTGTTGTTAGTAGACATGTATGATTCGTTTCGGAAAAATTAGTTTTTCGGATGAATTTTTGTTATTCCGAGGTTCGAATGCATCCTAATTTCCGAATAACAGAAATGATGAATGAAAACGAATCCGAATTTCCAAAAACAAAATTTTGGACGAAATTCGTTGGCTTTATTCTATACAAATTTTAGTTTGTGGACAAATTTTTGTTGCAGCAAAGTGACATTAAAAAAATTAGTTTCTCTAATGTCACTTTGCTGCAACGAAACGAACAAAACATAAATGAATCGAACACAAAACTAACGTGCGTAAAGACTACCGCTAACGAATTTCGTCTAAATCCGAATTCTGAAACGAACTGACTTTCGAACGCGAATTCCGAAAAAAGAAATAAATCAAAATCCGAATCAAAACGAAACTAAACAAATTTTTTGCCGGTGCACATGTCTAGTTGTTGGGGTTTATACATACTTTAGGGGTCTATTCACAAAGCTGCTGAAGGATCCAGCCGCAGCTTTGGCTGATCCTTCGGCTAGCTACGGTTATGGGAGGCCTTCGGTTCAGTGGAACCGAAGGGCTGCTGTACGGACTATTCACTAACGGCCCGTACAGCTTTCTAAGTTGCTCGAGCGGCTCAGTCTTGCCAAAGGCATGTGCTTCGGCTCGATTGAGCAAAGGTGAAATCCAAAGCGTGCCGAACGGCCAGCCATTGGACGGCCGAAAGCCTGCTACTGGCAGCTGGGCGGAGCCAGCTGTCATCTCACGGCTGGCTCCGGCCACTTGCAAAGACAGATCAGCGTCCCCTGGTTACCAGGTAATCAGGGAACGCTGATCTGTCATTACAACGAGAACTCGGCGGAGCCGCTGTGATATCACAGTGGCTCCGCTGAGTTCTCAGTGTGTAATGACAGTTCAGCGTCCCCTGGTTACCTAGTAACCAGGGGACGCTGAACTGTCAAGAGATCAGCGGGGGCCGGCCTTTATATCACTGCCGGCTGCGCTGAGCTCTCATTGTAATGACAGTGCAGCGTCCCCTGGTTACCTAGTAATCAGGGGAAGCTGAACTGTCATGAGAGCTTAGCGGGGCTGGCCTTGATATCACTGCCGGCTGAGCTGAGTTCTCATTGTAATGACTGATCAGCGTCCCCTGGTTATCAGGTAACCAGGGGATGCTGATCTGTCACTATGATGAGAGCTCAGCAGAGCCGGCGGTGATATCAAAGCCGGCTCTGCTGAGCTCTCATGGTGAAAGCATTATGAAAGCATTACTTGGAAACCAGGGGATGCTGATCTGTCATTACCATGAGAGCTCAGCAGAGCCGGCCTTGATATCACCGCCGGCTCTGTCGAGCTCTCATTGTAACGACAACTGGTCCCGGCCAATAGAAAACAGTTGGGCAGAGCTTGCTGTCACTGCTAGCTCCGCCCAATCATTTTCAAATTTTTTTCCACTTTTTTAACTGGTTTTCTATTCTGCTTGACCACAGAAAAGCTCAGCGGCATTCGGCTATCACTCACTGCTGTTCGGCCCCTATGAGAATAGGCCGAACTCCTTTTGCACTTCGGGTCGGCTGAACATGCTGAGCATGTTCGGCCGACCTAAAGCCAGCCGATGCAAGCCAATGTACGGCTGAAATCAGCTGTACAAGCCTGAAGTGAATAGCCGAACAGCGTTCAGCTCACTTCACTTAGGGTTGGTTAGTCACTCCGCTGCCTATGGCAGCTTTGTGAATAACCCCCTTAGTGTTTTGACGGGTACTGGAAATTCACACAGTACTTTGAGAGAAACAGTTTAGTATTGACATGCATTTAATTGCACTTTACTAGAAGACACATACCACGGTGTGTTACCATTTATTTTGACAGTACATTGCTGTGCACCACAATACAAAGCAGATTTTCGTCAGTCGCAGTGTGTTGGCAGACTATTTAAAAGTAATATGTTGCCTTAAAGTGACATAAAATGTCCCCTCCCCCAATGTTAATGTCAGCACTTACCTTTAATGATGTTTCTTAATCCGATCTTCTATTTCTTTCCTGTCCTTTTCATCTGTCCCTCCAGCGGTGCGGCGGATCTCCGATCCAGCTCTGACTCCTCTCTGCTTGCAGGCACTTCCGATCCAGCGGTGTCTGCATGCGGGTGTACGCGTCCATAGGCTTACCTTGCGCCTCTGCTCGTCTCCCGGCCGAGAATCCGAACTGCGCATGCGCCCGTCCCAAGATGTTTTGCGGCCACCCGAGCAGTTTTGGATTCTCGGGCGGGAGCGCGCAGTGAAAAGAAGGTAAGTTTAATCCGCTGTTAAAGCGTTTTTTCTTTTTTTTAACAAAAAGGTTTTGCCTATATCTACTGCTTAATAGTAGTAGATATAGGAAAAAATAAACGGAGGGTTTAGAACCCCTTTAATGCAATTAGTGCTTCTGAACACACTGCCTTATGTAAATAGGGCCTTAGGAAAAAATTTTTTCCAAGAGAAGAAAGCATTATGAAAAATAGATCACATTGGTGTCTGGTTTTCTTTTTCTACTTTTGATCTACAAGAAGGAGAAACAGGCGGTTACACAGAGATCATAACAATTCATTTATATAAACTGGAGCACAGAATAATAAGGCATTTTGATATTTTGGTATAATGTTGATTGAGATATAGGATACAAGATGATTTCCCCTAACATCAACCAGTACTGTTACTGCCAATGACCTAGGTACCACAGGCAGTCCCATATCTTCACAGAGACACTGGTCTCTCTTCAATTCATAATTGAAAAAATAGATAAGATGTCCATGTGTGGTGCTTAGAAATCTAGAGATTATTTGTTGCTTTTGAACAGTACAAATTGTAAAGTGGAAAAACCTCTTTACTGAAGAACAGAGCAAAGAACTGGATGCAGAGTTCCAACAAAAATCTTCTGGGACAAAGCTGGGAGATTTTCTGAACTATACAAAATACTGCATGTTCTAGACACTTCTGAAATAAATCAAACAATAAGTAACTGCAATCATACCACATTCACCAGGTTACAGAGCTCTTTTAAATAACACATTTGATAGCTACAATAAATATATTTTGTTGCTATCTTTAACAAAACACACTGAGATTTGCAGATTGTGGATTTCTGTTATTAATGTATTTTTGTCATACATTTATTAAATTAAACTGTGTTTTTTAAAATCTCGAAAAGCAATATTACATTTCCATCCATCATATAGTAACTTTTCAAATGTTAGATTAAAAAAATGGGACTTCTGACAGCTGGGTCAATCCAGGCAGTGCAGTGTGCCAGCATCATGAGAAAAGTTGTTCATATTTCAGGACAGACAGAATAATGGCCATTCCAATCCTAGGTGCAGAACACATGTATGTGCATGGTGGTCATTGATGTCTCCAGCTAGGACTGGTCCACGCAAGATTTTTCACAGGATGGTAAAATGCTGAAAGAAGCAAACTATGCCCTTAACATGCTGAGGCATTCAGATATTTCTTTTTTGGATCGACCTTGGAAAAAAAAACAACTACTGTACTGTCACTTTTTATTACTGTCACTTTCACCTCATTTACTGTCCCTGTAACTTCCTGTAACAGCAGGACATTCAATGAGGGGTATTAAACCAAAACACTCCCTTTGCACCCAGGTGACTGCTTTCTTAAGTTGATATACCTGTTTTCGTATTGTTTTGCTGCTGGCATGTAGAGGTTGTAAGGATTATCACTACTTAAGCACTCTTCATAAAAACAAACCCATGTTTTGTTTCACCACAACTGACTATGGTCACTTTAGACCCATAGTATATTGTGCATGTATTCCAGGCCCCTTGTTCTGTGAAGGCATCCCTTCCACCTTATATAAAATGTTCACAGACTAGTATTTTTTTTTGTCTAAACTAAGCCCTTCTCTGTTTACTGGATAATGAAGGGGCACTGCCACAGTGATCCATTGTGTGCATCCATTATCATTCTCTAGTAATGTGTTACCTTTCCAAAGGCATACTTGGCATACTACATTCATCCTGTGCCTGGTGCTTGCACAGTTTAAAAAAGGCTTTCTTTTTGTGTAAAAACATAAGAATTATTTTGCTCAACTTGTATGGCTTTCAGAACAAACAAAAAACATTCATTAATACAAGGTATCTACACAACATCAGGTATCAGCAAATGCATCTCTGTCTGCAGAAAACAGGGTAGATATTGAAACTCTAATTAATGATAACCTGTAAAGTAACCAAAGCAGAAAGTACTTAACAGTAAAATAAAGAGACTAATTGATATCATTCTGTGCATTGCCAAACTAGGCCTTGTTTACAGAGGGAAGCATAGTCTAAAGCATGGCACTTCTGTTCAGTTTGTTTTGCTTCTTATCAAATATGATATCAATCTACAAAAGCATATAGAAAAGGTTGGGGCGCAAGTAGTAAAAAAAACACATCACCTTGGTAATAGAAGAAGAGGTGGTTTGGTGTCACAAACGCTTCGGGAGACTTTTCGGTAACCGTGCCGAGCGCCGCCCTCGTCAAGTGCATAACCTTGCTCCGCCTCCCCTCCGTCTTCCAGCGGCTTAATTCTAAATGCTCAGCGTCTTGTCAATTTGGTAAGACCCTGAGCATTTCCTGCTGTAGCACGGCCACACTACATCCTGACACTGACTTACCTGAACTGCTGTAGGGTCTCCCGTTGGTCTGTCTGCATCCAGCATCCTCAAGCCACCTCTGTGCCTCTTGCAGCCATCCATCCACCCTGTTGCTGCTGGGGCCTCTCCATGCCGCACCAATCTATTGTTCCAGCACTGCCCCTGCCTCAGGAGAAACCTTGCAGCTCGCTTAACCTTGTACAGCCTCGAGGATTACACTGTTCATACTTACCTCCCTTGTATCTACCCTATCTATGCCTGGACTCCACACTAAGTACACTCATGCGTTATGTATTCAGGAACACATCCTATACCATATACTCGTATACTATATAGTTGACGCAGTATGAAGTAATACTAGCAGTTGTACTATTGCTAAGACTCTCGTGATAACTGGTTACATGCTTAACGTGTGTTACGTATGCACCTCTTCCTTTCTGGGAAAAGACTGATCCTCATCTCCCTGATTTATACATCACACACCACTCTGTAGCTGAGATCCATAACAGGTATATCTGATAAATGTCAACATGTAGTTAGAGCCATTACATCTGGTAACATTATAAAGCAAATTCAATCAATCAATCGCTTGATCTCCATTATGGAGGACATGGTGAAACAACAAAAAAGCTGGGATGTCAGAGAAGCTGGTAAATTCAGTGTGAAAATGGACCGTACACAGGATGTTGACAGGAGGACTTTGCTATGTCACAGAAGAGAGTGTTACAGGAGAGACTTTTGTCTCTTTAATTAATGTTAGAAGGACAACTGGAAAGGGCCTGTTTGGTATTCTATAGGAGCAGATGGAACAGTTATCTTTGAGTGTTGTGAACATTATTGGCTGCTCCTTTGATGGTGCTGCAAATCTAAGCTGGTGCTATAATGGAGTACAGGCCCACATCAAAACAATGTCATGCAGTTCTCTATGCACATAGTACTATGCAAAGTCATACAAATGCTGTGTGTTTTAGTCCAAATAGGTCAGCTCTCAGTGTTAAGGGCATGAAAAGTTCTCTAGACTTTGAAAATTGGTGATAATAGACGGCAGAGCAAACCAAGAGCACTCTACCTTATTTGATTCCACTGCTAACCACTCAAAGGTGCTCCACTTTATCCCCAACAAATGATAAAATCATATTGTAATATTAATGTACTACATAAAATATCAGCTTATATACATTAATGTTCATAATTATATACAACTATTCTTAACATTTAAGTCCAATATGAATTATTCCATAATCATTGCGTATGATGAAACAAATATGTACTTCAAAATCAAAAATCAAAATGATTTTTAGTGAGAATCCACTTGACAGTGTGCCCAGACATATGAAAACAGGCTCACCTTTGTAGGTGGGCCTTAATATTATAAAAGCTCAATTAAGCTGGTTCTTTCCAATGGGGTTAAATATTTCCTCCACAATACTGATTAATCAATAGAAACTGCTGATTTCTCCAGTTAAAACTGTCTGATAGTTTACATAGCCATGGCTTTCTTTTCTCCAAGTCTCAGAAACGCAGAGAACAAACAGACCATAGGCCTGCCCATATATGCCTACAACTAACAACATAATAATTATTAAGAATTACTAATAAAACAATTTAAAGTCTACATTACACTACAGTACACCTCTAGTGGCCAGTGTACCTGCCTCATATACTCACCATGTGCCACGTTTAGCCAAGTCTCTTTTCCAGTTACCCCGCTCCAGTCTCTGTGGATCCAATCTATTCCCAACATTGGAGCCCAGAGTGTCCTTTTTATTGTATAGCATAAACTGTTTTGACACATTGTGTATCTTAAAGCCCCTTTTGTTCTCTAACTCTTACACTTACAGTCCCATTTGTTCATCCTTTATATTGGAGACCACAGGGACCCGGGAGCAGGTAGATAACTTGTTCGGTGTTGTTCGGTGTCAAAAACATGCATTCAATTATTATCAACTATTCCATCTCTCACATTAAGCATAAATCAGTTCCTCCTTTTATTACTAAATTATACTTAATACTTAGTTAATATGTTGATGGTACCTAAAGCTACAGTAGTGGAACCCTGTTGTGAAATAGGCTTAGCAAGTAGACACTGTTTTTGCCTAGTGGTACTTTCCATTGTCCTGAGGTAAATGGCTTTCAGTGGCTCCAACTGTTATAACGTAACTGTTTGTAATTGTATTATGTTAATCCTACCTAAAGCTGCTGGAGTGCAACCCTGTGTTGTACCATGGTCTTGGCAAGCTGGCACTGTCTTGCCTAGTGACAGTTTGGGTTTTCCGGTGGTAAATGTGTTTCAGTGTCTTAAACTGTTAGAAGTGAGTTATTCCAAATAATTTGTGTATTCATATATTTGGTATGAACTAAGCTACTATCTCTGGTAATTAGCTTTCCGTTGCTTTAACATTTAATAATGTTAAAAAAGGTTCTGACCTGTTCATGTGTTGCTGTGTGAACCTTGGCTCTGAAAACTACTCTGTTGTTTGCACTTGCAGCTTAATGAAATAGTGCTTTCCCAATGCATGTTTAACTGCCCCCCTCCTCTGCTGCATATACTTTCCTTATCTTTATTTACCTCCCTTGAAACCTAGGCCATTAAGCAAAGAAAAAGCCGTTCATTCAGCTACTGAGGAGTATGTGGCTCAGTCCATTCCCACCATGATGTGACAGTGTTAATGCTTTGTGATTGGTCACTCAAATACTATACCCAGCATTGTCATATAGGGGCTTAGAGAGAGCACTCAACTAAGAATATGTAAGCTGCAACTTGTGGTTCACGCAATGGTTCGTTAGCTCCCAAAAAAAAAATGATGGTAGGTGAGTTATGGACAGTGTATACAGCTGGGGAGCTGACAAGTTAGATCACTTAATCTGTATATGCCCATCAACATCAGGTATAAGATTCAAGAGGAAGGTCCTTGTCAAGCAGCCCAATAGGGATGAGTAACAGGCTACACTACTTCATTACTACCCAAAACAATCATTCCTGTTGAATGAATTAAAGAATATCATCATAGGAACTGGAGCATGATGAATTCATCATTCATCATCACAAGGCTGGTAATAAAGGATGGTGAAAAAATCCCCTATGTTATTCCTAAACCTATGGAAACAAAGGCCCAGGAATGCACATCATCATGATTTGTGTTACCGATATGCCCATATGTGAATGAGGACTTAAGCATATGCCTGGCTGTCCGCACACTGGTTCTAACAATGGAGAGCGGCTTACCTGGCTGCAGATCACATGCTCAGCTACATCTGCCTCATTAAGTCTGGCTTCTCTGAGCTGCTGAGGGAGGAAAGAAGGGAAACTTACCTTCCCTGGGTGTGTCCAGGAACCCAGAGAGTTGTGAGACGTGGAGTCGAAGGGGGCTTCACCAGCATCAGACCATGAGTAAATGAGCCTTCCACAACACTTATAATCCAGCTGTCAGAATAGTATTTCGTTTTGCACATAGAGCAATGTACTTAAAAACTTTTGCACACCTAAAATGTTTTTTTATTTTTGGTGTTATCAGGCTGGATCATTTAATTTCAGTAATAAAATCCTCAAAATATCCTGTAAGCAATACATTTTATGAACTTGAAGCGGACCCTGTCATCAACTTAAAAAATTGTAGGTAAAAGTACATTAAAAAAATAAAGTATTTAAATGCTTATTTGCAGCATTTTTCCTTTCTGTATACAAATGTATTTATGTGCAACGAATCTCTGAACTTGCTAGCAAATTTGACTACTTCAGGCCAGCACAGCCCCCTCCTTTTTTGCATGTTATAGCCCTGTCCTCTTCTGGAAGCGTCTAATTACTGTCTGTGCTGGTCAAGCTTCTCCGCTCACCTCCATATATAACCGTCGAAGGAGGAATAAAATCACAATACTATAGTGTCTCTTGAGTGACAGCTCTTAGGGCTTGTTCACACGACTGTCCTGACCAGATCCGTGCGCTCCTGCTCTAAAAATGCATCCCAAATTATCCCTATGTGTTTTATGGGCCACAGTTCTCACTAGCACAGTCCATTCAGGTCAGGACAGAAAAAATACTGCATGTCACATTTTGTCCGGTCAGGAAACGGTCAGGAAACGAACGTGAAACGAACATGAACGTGACAAAAAGGCGTATAAAACGGACCGCATTAAAGCTTAGCAAAACAAAACAAAAAGTATTCCTACTACACTTTCCATGGTGTCGTCATCGTTGGACTTCCTGGATGTGGTGGAGCAGTAGAGGGAAAACCAGTAGGCATGAACAACATGGTCCTGGACATAGAAAGGTTTGTCGGATTGATGGAGCGAATGCCAATACTATACGACCCTCGTCATCCACATTTCAAAAAATGTGCATAAAAAAAATAGATCAAAACTGGAGAGAAATAGCCTCAGAGCTGTATGCGAGAGGGCGGAAGTGACCTTAGAGGAAGAGTCTGCATACTGACAGCCCCACAGCTTTAAAAAAAAAAAGAACTGTGAGCGCCCGGTCCACGGTAAAAACGCATAAAAACCGCGTCAAAAACGCACTGCTGCAGAACTCCGCTTCTGCAGATCTGCACCAGATTCGGACCAGATCAGGACCGGAAAATCGTCTGAACAAGCCCCAAGTCTGCTGGGGCTGCTGACATTACATCCAAGATGGTGGCACTCTGCAGCAGTCTCAGGGCTTGTTCACACCATTAACAGAGCGGTCAGCTGCTGGAATGCACTGTATCATATTGAAATGGATCTGAACCACAACTGGGTTCACACAA